GGAGAAAGGGCTTGAGACTTAGTGGTGAAGCTGCAGTTGAAAAAATCACTTTAGATGGTGTGAGAGGGTTGCGTACCATGTTGAGTGCAACAGTTCATGATGTCTTATATTACATGAGCCCCATCTATTGTCAGGATATCATTGATTCAGTATGTCCCATCTAATTCATTCCTCCATTACTGTTAATTTTATACGTAATTTCTTCTCTAATGATTTTTGGATGGCTTGTGTTTTTCTGATATTATGTTTAGCTCTCAAATGCATATTAATGTGTAGCTATAGTCATAATACAAGAAATTTGTCATTATTTCATTGTCAAGAAAAGGAATACATTGCTTCATCAATATATTGGAGCAAGGTCAAAGTATTTCATGTTTTACTTCCGTTTGAGCAAATTCAAAGTACTCGCTAGTACACTTCCAAAAAGCTCTGGATCATTTCCTACCTTATGTCTATTATATATACAATATATACAACATACCTAGTATATTCCCAACAGGTTGGGGTCTGGGGGGTCAGTTGTACGCAGACCTTACCCTTGTAATTATACAAGGAGGCTGTTTCCGTAGCAACCCAAGGTGCATTGCGCCGTTTGATATATTTTGTTTTTTCTAGAAACTTCACTAATAGAAGAAGCACTAGAATTTAATTGAGCCATTTTGATCTAGTCCATTATTAGCACTATGCTAGGAGAATTGTCAACAATGACTCTTCCAGCTCCATTTGCAATGGACAAAACACCTTATGTCTATTCTTGAAGATAAAATTTATTTTATTTCAGATGGGAGCTATTCAACATAGAGATTGTCATATCCATCTTCCTGGTCCTTTGACTCTAGGTGGTCATTCTTTATGTTAGGGTTCCATTCTCAAGGAACATCCCTGAGTTCTTGTAATAGTTTAACTGTGTCCATTTTTGGAATTGTCCTGTTATGATTTTCTTCAACCGAGGTTAATGTTTTTTTATTTTTAAAAAACATCCAAACGAGGTAATGACGACCACTTTTCAATTCTCAGTGCACGTGCTTCTGTAAGTTAATTGAATATGTTGTACATTTGAGGTGGTTAAGTACAAGTTATCGTCATCATAGATGAGACGAATGAAGCATAAAGGTGTAGTTGACCACTTCCTCACCCATAGCCCTGTTGGGTTCGATAGTACCGTACGGGCTGTACGCAGCGGAATTTAAAATTTTTAAAGTAAGTATTTATCGTATAAATACAACACCCGTACATACTAATTGCGAATTAACTGATCGTCATCTTTAAAACATGCATCATATACAAATTTTGATTTGTTACTATAAAATAAATACTAATAAAAATATTTACCGAATGTCTTGAACTCCTTCACTATTGATGATGGATGAGGGAATCGATTCCCGGTTGTAACTTCAACGACTTGAGGTTACTCGCTAGAGGAATCCAAGTGTCTTCCCTCTAAACGTATCCACCCTATGAAGCTCGGTTCCGACAACTTTCCTTCGCTAGTAGAAAAGACTCGGTTTTCTTGTATAGGAATATTTATGAATTTTATTTGGGAATTTTAAGAACTCTTTCTTGAAGTTTTATGAAGAACACTTTCTTCTCTTTCTAACACTTAGAAATTTAGGATCAAAAACTTCATTTAAATGCAAAACCATTTTGCACATATTTATACTAAACATTTTAGCATAAAATAATCAACATTTAGTAATATTAAATAAAATCAAATTT